CCAGGCGCCTGCCGGCGTAGGACGAGAAGCTGCCCGAGTAGGAGGAGTGGCTGCCCGTGGCGATGCCGCTGTCCGAGGAGCTCTGGCGACCGACCTCTTGCAGCTGCCGCGGCCGCAGCGCCTTGGGTGGTGGCCTCGAGGCGCCCAGCGCAGCCTCTCCGGGGACCTGGGCAGCTGCCAGCCCAGGCCCCTCCTGTGATGTGCTGGCTGAGGACAAGGACTGCTCTGGCCACGTGGTGAGCCGGCTGCTGGCGCTGATGTCCGAGTGGCTGGCCTCCGAGGAGGAGCTGGACAGGCTGCGTTCGTCTCCTGAGATGAGAGCAGGGAGCTGAGGCTGCTGGGGGCTGGTGCTGGGCCCGGGGAGGCTCAGGGTGGAGCTGACACCTCGTAGCCACCACGGTCACACTCACTGGTCTCTCGTTGCCATCCTAGGTCAGCTCACCACACCACTCCCCAGGCCCCCCCAACATCACCCTTCTCTGCCCACACAGTCCCTCACCTACCCCATCATGCAACCCCCAGCTCTCTCTAGAACTGCGTCCCTCCCATTTCTCCCCCTCAACCCTCACCCAGGCCCCAGTCCTGTCCTCTTCACCTGGATCCCCCCCATCATCCCTGCCCCTCTGGCTCCTCCACAGCACCGGGTCTCCCTAAAATATGGGCTTGATTGACCCTCTTCTCCTGGCTCCCAGCCCCTCTGTCCTGAGGGCTCGCCCTTCTCCCTCCTTGTGCCCACACTCTGCGTCCACCTATCCTGACCACCTTCCCACCCCACAGCCCGGCTCTCACAGCTGATGCCCACTCTGCACCCTTCGGCCTCTGTGCAGGGACTTCTCAGGCCCTTTCAGCTGGACACTAGGCCCCAGGCCTGCCCACAGCACCTGACTCACCCACCAGTATCTCCTCCTCCCCACAAGGTCAAACGCCTTATCTTCATAAAACCATGCTGGGAGCTCAGCTCCTGTCCCTTGCCCTCCCAGCCTGCCAGGCCTTTGCCTCTTCTCACTCTGCCCCGGGAGAGCCACTTTGCTCTGCTTTCTCATCTCTCAAAGTGTGCGTGGCCTGCAAGAAGGTGAAAGCCCAGTGCAGAGCTGGGAGGGCCAGGACAGGAGGGAAGAAGGTTACCTATCCCCTGTGTGGCTCATGGGTACAGAAGGGTGCAGTCCACCTGCTAAGAGCTGCAATGAGCCCACACTGGGCTGCCAGCCCCTCCACCCATCTTTCCATGAGGGGCAGCAGAGCCAGAGCCACCAGCAGCTGAGGAAGGGCCTCTGTCCCTGGACAGCCAGCTCCTTCACCCTTGAGCCACCGTGAGCGCTGATGGTACAACTGAAGTGCAGGAAGCCTCGGCCCAGGCCACATAGCTGGGGGTGGGGAAGAAATCAAGCCCGGCTCTTGTGGCCTGCACTGCACTTCTCTCTCATTGGTGCCTGGGGCCGGCATCTAGAAGCTGGAATCCAGGGTGCAGGAGTGAATGAACCAACAGGAGGGAGAGGAATAAATGAATGGATGAACAGGAGAATGAATGAATGCATGAGTGAACAAGAGGGTAGGGGATGAATAAACGAAGGAATGAGCAGGAGAGAGAATGAACAAATGAACATGAGGCAGAGGGAGAATGAATGCAAGAACTCATGAATGAGCAGGAGGGAGAGTCAGTGAATGAACGGCAGGGGACAAAGGAACAGAATAGAGAAGGGACGCGTTAACGGACAGGAGCAACTCTGCAGCAGGCTTGGAGAGATGGCCGCCTGGCCTGCTGACTGGCTTAGCAAGAGGTCTCTGCAGCCCAGGCCCTGGTCCGCCCCGCCCCTACCTCCACTGCCTGGCCGGCCTGAGTGTGAGAGGAGGCTGAGCCGCTTCTCCAGCTGCAGGGCTTCCAGGGCTTCTTGGGCCACTCGCTCCTCCAAGGTCGAGGGGCCTGCAGGGCTTGGGTCTGTAGCAGAAAGAAGTCAGCAGAGGAGGCAGGGAGCACCCCTCTAGCCCCAGCCCACACACTGGCTGAGATGCCAGAGTCCAGAGCCTTCTGAACTGGCCCAGCCTGTGTCCCTGTGTCCGGACAGCCTCCCCTCGGCCAGCCTGAGCCGCCGTGCCGAGGACAGCTCCCCATCTGTCTCGTCATTACACCCCAAAGCCAGCTAGACTCCCTTCCTCACCCGACCAACTCCATTCACTGTCTCCGAAGTGAGCCACTCCTCCCAGTGCCTGTGGCTCACCTTGACTCAGGAGGGGTCCGCTTAGCCCCTCCCCCCCCATTTCCTGCGCCACTCATAGTTCCCTTCCGTCTGAGTAAAATACGGCCTGACCCTGTCACTGCCCTGCCACTCCCTGGGGCCCTCGGGTAGAGACTCACATGGCACAAAAGGCTCAGAGCACACACTACTGTCCTCCGGCCTCAGTGGGCTCCTCCCCTCACAGCTGCCACTCAAGGAGCACCAGCGCCAGCCTCTCTGGTCAGCCGTGTGTCCTCGGACTAGGAAACCTCTTATTCCCACTCAGGCTGAGTGTGAGCCCTTTACTGGCCCCTCAGGATTCATCACCCTAGGCCATAACTTTTGTTGGGTGTGGGTCTCCACACAGAGGCAGCCATGGGGAGCAGTAATTTGCCCCATTGTCCCCATGCTCAGTAATGCTGGCGTGTGGCTGTGGGCCGCCCAGCTCCAGACAGCAGGGCCTGCTCCCAGGGCCCTTCCACATCCACTGAACAGACAGCTCCAGCCACCCAGAGAGCCAGAGTGCCCATCCAAACACACCATAGCCTCCTCTGGGCTTTCAGGAAATGCCTCAGGGCAGCATTGACCCCAGAGAGCCACCTGGAGGCTTCTGTGGCTGGCATCTGGCCACCACGGGCTCGCATCTGGCTGCCACGGGCTCCCTGGCTAAAGGCGTGCAGACTGGGAAGGCCTATGCCAAGCACCGGCCACCGCCTCCCCCGGGGGCTCCTGTAGGAGGGGAGCCGAGAGCAGGGCAGCAGAACCCACCGTCCCCAGAGCTAGAAGTAGTGGCATTGTGAGCTTTCCGTGTGATTCTGCAGCACATGGAGGGCCGGGAAGCACAGCCGCAGCCTGGGGCGCCTGCTCGGTCTCGAAGGACAGAGCTGAGCGGTGGGAGGCCGGAGGAAGGAGCTGCACAGTTCAGCTCCAGAAAAACGCTGGAGCCAGAAGTCTCAGCAGCACAGCGGGGTGTGCCTGCTCCTCCGCCCTGAGTGGGTAAATCTGCATCTAGTCGGCTTCATCCCTGAGTACTCAGGGCCTCAGGCAAGGGTGACTGCCTGGGAGGATGGAAGGCGATGATGGCCACAAGGCCCACTGGAACTCCCTCCAGACAGAGCAGGCCCAGCTGCCATGGAGTCGCACACCCCACTAGACCTGGCAACTTCCCGCCTGAGTACCCAGGGCCTCAGGCAAGGGCTGCATTTCCATGGGCAGGTGAGAGGCACGAGCTGGGCCAGGAGGGTCTGCTGCTCAGCCGGCTGGGAGTCCTCCCAGCCAGGGATCCTGCAGCCTGGGACAGGGACCTAGTGGGCACAAGTGTCTTGTGACTGCCTGGGAGGATGGAAGGCGATGATGGCCACAAGGCCCACTGGAACTCCCTCCAGACAGAGCAGGCCCAGCCGCCATGGAGTCGCACACCCCACTAGACCTGGCAACTTCCCGGAAGCCTGCACAGACCTGCCACTGCCCCATCTGTGCCACTGACAGCAGACATCCCCGCTGACGCTCGGCCCTGTGGACCGTCATCCAAAAGCCATCAGGCCCTGCAGTGGATGGCGGCCCCTTAATGCCATCAGGGTCTGGTCACAGGACATGCTCTCCTGACGACTTCCCATCAGCAGGCAGACTCTCAGCCCCACAACCCCCCCCAAGCTTCTTCCTCTCATTTACAAAATGGAGTGCAGCAACAGGACACCCCAGCAGAGTCAAGGACAAGCAGGTGACACACATGACCTTCTCAGAGATGGGGTCTCGGAATCTAGCTCCCACTGCCCCTCTGAGCGGGTCCTGCCTCCTCTGGGCCTCTGTGTCCAGGGCGGTCCCTCAGCCCCTCCTGCAGGTTTGACCTCAGAGAGAGCACAAGGGATTGCCAGGAAGCCTGGAGTGTAGGGCTGCTGCCCAACCAAAGCCACATCTTAGCCCCAGAGCCCAAGGGGCTTCGGTGTGACGCCAGCCAAGTACAGAGCACAGAGTCCCCCCTACAGGGGCTGGGACCCAGGACCCCATTCATTGCCGCAGCTTGGCTGGCACGTCAGGGTGACCCAAGGTCCCCACACACCTGGGGAGCACAGCTGCGAGCGGAGGCCTCTAAAGCCCTGTCTTTGAAGAGCTCCCAGCTGATCCTGGCAAGGACGGGCTGTGAAGTGGGGTCTGGGACTTCTAATCCACCCACCCATCCTCCAGCATGGCTCTGCCTGGGGACAGCCAGCCCGCTGCCTGCTGGGCCCCTGCGAGACAGCTGTGTCTCTGCTGAGCCTCTGCTGAGCATCTCTGCCCACTGCTGGGCCCCAGCACACCCCTCCTTGCCCGGGCACACCCACGGGGGACAGGGAGATCAGAGCACTCTCCTGGTCTCCGCCGCCCCCAGCCCTGGTCCTGGGCCCACGAGCAGCTGCCGGACAAGGCCTGCCTCTGCCCTGGCTCTAGCAGCCAGACAGGGTTGAGGGGCGAACAATGTCCAGGGGTGTAGAAGCCTGTGTCTGGGGGAGAAACACACTGACCATCCCTATACCCCACACTCTGCCGCTGCCCACTCACCTGCACACTCTCCCTGCTCCCCGTGGGTGCTCCTGGGGCCCAGCAGTGGGCAGAGATGCTATAGGGAGACCCCGCGGAGTCAGAGCTGTTACAGGGGCCCAGGTAGGCAGCGGGCTGGTTGTCCCCAGGCAGCTGCAAGGTTGGGCCACGCCAGCAGGGGGCGCTGCCATACCGTCCAGCAGAGGTGGGCTGCACAGAGGGTTCCTACCGCAAGAGATGCCTCTTTCCTCCCCTGAGATCATCCGGCCTGTGCCAGGCTGGGGTTAGGCGAAGGGCATGAGAGTCTGGGAGAAGGGAGGCCTGAGTGCTCGCTGTGAGACCTGCACTCCACTCCTGGGGTGCTCCCGCCTGCCCTACCCTGGCTGGGGTGCCGACCCAGAAGGCAGACATGTGCAGGCCTGGGACCCCACGCAGACAACAGGATAAGCACTGTCCTCACCGGGTGGCACGAGCATTAGAGACAGCCCATACAAAGCACCTGGCCCAGGACTGCCAGACCCAGGGGAGCCCGGCCCATTCTAGGCCCCACAGCGTCAGGGCCCCTCCAGGGTTCAGCATGATGCCCTGGCTGCAAACAGGGACGTGGGGCTGGAGCATAACAAGACATGCTCAGCCCAGCCCTGACACCCACCCCAAAGAGAGACCCCATGAACCAGCAAGCTCACAAGGCAACTTCTAGCTCTGCTAGAGCTGGCCCTGACCCCTCGCTCCCACACCTGGCAAGGCCCTCACCCTCACCTCTCCCAGCCTGGGAGTCGGGGTAGCACAGGTCTTCAGGATTGCAGGCCTTACTGCCCTCCGGCTGTACCTGAGGCTAAAGGCCCCAGCCAGAAGGTTCATGCCCGAGTGGCCCAACAGCTCAGGCCCCAGGAAGGAAGCGCATCTGCTGGTTCAGGCCCAGGATGCACTGACAGGGCCCTCGGAAGCCCCAGGCTGCCCTCAGCTGTGGTCCCACACCCAGCAAGGCTCTGGGTTCCTTAGCCATGAGTGGAAAAGGGCAGCCCCCTCACTAAGTTGACCAATCAAGTTGGCCACTGGCCTGACACTGTGCATGAGCAAAGCGCACTCTCCCCACTTGGGCCCCCACCCGGCCACGCTCCCATACGCACCTGGGAGAACCGGCCTTAGCCCGAAGGGGCCCTTGGTTGGGGAGATGCCTCTGACGATACAGTCAAACAGGAAGCTGATCTGGTCCCCCTCGGCTGAGGACAGGAAGAAGACTCCAGCCCCTGCACAGGGAGGACGGGGACACTGAGGTCAGCCTGGTATGGCCTGGGTTGGAGCACCTCTTCAGGGTGGAGGGCTGCAGGAAGCCGGAGCAAACTGCAGCCAAGATAACACACCCAGCTCCCCTGGCACCACGACCCTGTGTCCCCGGCTTTTCTCCACCCTAGCAAACCCCCCTGTGCTCGGCAAATAAGGCGGCTCCGCTTCCAGGCCACACGTACATCAGGCCCGCCTGCAGCAGCCAGGGTCGCCTCCTCTGCCTGGGACAGTGGGTCCCTCAGGGTGCCAGCTGAACACTCTCACGCAAAGCTCAGGGAGCTGGCAGGGATGGCTTATGCGGAAGTGCCAGTGGGGCACCTTGTCCTGGGTGTGCTGGGGAGCGGGAACGTGATGGGCAGTGCGATTGGAGGAGGCGGGCGAGGGTGTCGCGTCCCAGCCGATGGCCCGAGAGTTCTTTCCTCTGCAGAGGTATGCACACCGCCCTTCAGGACTCTCTGGAGCTATGGGGGGCACGTGCAGGCTCTGCTCTGTCACTGAGAATGACCAGTCCCTACCCTCTAAGCCCAGGTTTCCTCATCTGCACCAGGACAGCGACCTCCACCCCCTACAGCTGCCCTGAAAGTGGGTGAAGCAGAGCACACACCAGAAGTCCCAGAGCTGCATCAGGTGGAGTGGGGGCTGGGCTGCCTAGCTGTGGGGCTCACTTCCGGGATGGCCCTGTGACTTCAGTCATGCTTGGTCTCCGGCCTGCTCATGCAGGACTGTCCAGAGCATTACCTACAGATGTTTGTAAGTGCACGGTACAATGTCTGCCCTCCAAATGACGTGACCGTCACTCTCCTGGCCAGCTCGGAGTGTGGCCCACCTTACACTAACTGCCCCCCACCTCAGCACCTCACAGTCAGTCGCTGAGTCACTTGGATGGAGGGACGGGGGCAGGTTCTCGGGGCCTCCACAGCCAGGAGCCCAGGGCAGTGAGTCAGCAACGGAGCAGGGCTTATAGTCACACATGCCCCGGGCGCCCGGCGGCCTGCCTCCTGCTGGGCCCGAGCCCCAGCCAAGAGTGAATGAAATCTCTCCGCCAGCAACCGGTGAATGGGAGGCCAGGCTGGCTGTACCCACCCGCTGACGCCAGGGTCACGTGAGGCCGGACACTCGCACAGCGTCACCGCCCAGGAATCTCAGCCTGCCTTGGAGCCTCTGCCCATTGCCCAAAGAAAGGCACGCTCGCAGGGGGAAGGGGGTGGGGACCGGGAAGAGCTCTGCCTTAAACTCTCTGCCGCCTGGTCACGCTCCGCCTTCACAGAATTCAGGGCCATGGATTCCATGGACCCAGGCCAGCTCTGACACGTGGCGACCCTGCCCTGCCCCTCAGCAGCCACCACGGGCACGTGAGAGGGAGTGCGGCATCCTGGCTGTTGAGGCTTCATTCCACGTAGTGCCCCCAACCGGGCGATGTCACAGGGCCGCTCCTACCTCAGAGATCAGGGGCTGAGACCCAGAGGGGGCCAGTGACTTGTCCAGAGTCATGCAGCCAAGAAGGGGGCTCAAGACAGGTCGCTGGGCCCACGTGGGCACTTCCTGACACTACCTTGATGCCCCCGAGGAGGATGCCCTGATGGGTGGGGACCTCTGAGGCAGGGTGGGCTGGATGAGAACCCAGTCCCGGGACCTCGACCACATGGGGGCAAGGAGACGGCATCGCGGTGGCCGCTGTCTTCTGGCTGGCCCACGCACAGCGTCTCGAGGCCGCGCCCATCCTGTCCACTGCCCCTCCCGGGTGAAGGGCTCACGAAAGGCCGGGCCTCTAATCCTGAGCTTACAGACAGCTGGCAGAGGCCACAGGACAACCAGTCCCCCGACTATAAAAAACCATATTACCGAAGGGAGTGGAGCCGGCCCTGCATTCCACTGGGGCGTCTGCAGAGCTCCACGCTCCCCAGAAGGCGCCACCAGCCATGCAAGGCCCAGAGGCACAGCTGACCTCAGCCTCAGGCCTCAGTGCCTACAGGGCACCCCTGCAGGCCCCCCATCCCTCGATGCCTGCAGGGCATCCCCACCAGCCCCTATCCCTGCCGGCAGAGCTGATGTCAGAAAAGGATGCCCATCTCTCAGGGCTGGTCTGCCTAGGCCCTGGGGTGTGGCCTTCCAGGACACAGCACAACAGCCTTCATGCTGGCTCCCCCAGTTCACACTCTACCCCTGCCCGGCAGGCCCTCCCGGCTTCACTCCCTGCACAAAGCTCTTTAAACACACCAGGGCCACCTGACATACCTCCACCCGGGGAGGGGCCATGTCTGCCCTTCCAGGCCCTTTGACCACCTAGCCTTGGGGGCACAAGACCCCAGCAGCAA